GAAAGGAGATATTTTCCAAAAAATTATTGTGAGGTGTGGGGGACTTGGTAGTCTTTTGGAAAGATGGGTTGCGGTCCTAAGTTTTTTTTTTCCACCTTTTTCCTCTTGTTTTTTGTGGGTGGGTCCTTTGCCGAGTTGTTTGCGCTATAGGGGCACGTACCCCCCTTTTTTTTTCTCTTGGAAAATCCTCCTTGCCTTCTGATATGTATGGGCCCTGCTGGTGTTTATTAAACTTTTTTTTTTTTTTTGCGGGGCTGCTTCCCATCTACTTCCACCATCTTCTCCCCTATTTTGCCCATGTTCCACAATGTTGGCCATGAAGTGTGCATTTTCAAGCCTGTGGTGGTGGTATAAAAAAAAACAGAAGTGAAAAAAACAATTTCCCCGTAGAGGATCAATAAAGTATATCATCTTCTTCTTCTGTGACCAAAGTGATCCTACAGTGAGGATTCTGCCTCTATTGGCAGAAAACTTTAAAAACCAGAGGGTGTTTGTTAAAGAACATCCACTTGCATTACCATTGTTAAATGCTTCAGATCCAAATAAAACTCGTCATTTTAGAACCACATTTAAGGAAGCCTGTATAGGACGTATACATTTGTGAAATAATCAGTTTAATTGATTTGGGACCCAACCCCTCAAACTGCATTGGGTTAAATCAGATCTCTCAAATTTATGGCCACTATTTTATATGTTTGTTATTGTTAAAAAAGTAAAAATACAGAAAGCATTTAGGTGACATTAATCAATCACAGTAAAGTGATAAAGATAAAGATAAAGAAAACTAAATGCCAGGGGACAATGCACGTTTACAAAGCCAGAGGACATTAATAATAATGAATATAATATTCTTTGATTGTTTTGTTTTTTTGGAAGTACATTTATTGAAACCAAACAAAACATTATTCAGGTAATTAAAGTGTCAGAGTCAATATTATCAATAATAAATTCTACTCAAGTCCTTCCATAGGCTTTTGGTATTGTTACAGTGACAAACAAATGGGGAAATGTTTCTGGGAGTACTTCACACAATTAACTATTCACACTGATACCCTGTTTCAACTTGGCATGATACATTTAGTGCCACTAGATGACACTAGAGTCCCACTATCTGACACTGAGGAATCGAAGCTGAAGCTTTAAATGCATCCATAACAAGGACATTTCTACAATATAAACCAACAGGAGCAAAGGAAAAGACGAAATTCAGATTTCAATATAAATCTATTTCGCTTTGGCACAGTATACTTGGTTATTTATGTTGGTCAAAGGTGACGACATCCGTACCCGGATATCCTAGTTGAAAATATCCGTGTTGAACATGGGAGATTGAGTTTTCGACCGTCGCATTCTTGAACGGCTGTTACGTACGTTTACGTGCGCACGCAAGCAGCAGCTCACCCCCCGCTACGCATTTGACGTACGTGTGCTCTCTAGTTGCTCCTTGGAGATTCCCCTTCCTTCCTGGGCTGTTTGAGGTAAACCGACGCGGTCGCATCAGTCTCATTAATACCTCACGGAGCGAAAATAAGCCTCACATGAACGTCTTTGTCACAAATGTCTGAAACATGCAGCGGCAGCGGAGCGCGCCAAGCTAAAGCCTGGAAAGGTTACGGAGGCTGAAGTCCAACCCCGGGAAGAACTTATCGTCTCGATGGCTGTGAAAAGTTAACGCACAGACGACTGAAAAACAGGAATAATTCCCCTTCAACCGAGCTGAGGTAAGAATAACCGAGCCGTGAGTGGACTTCGCGAAGTACACCGCTGTCGGGCAGCGTCGATACCGTCGACCAAATGACTGAATAAGAGTGTCTTTGTTTACAAGGTCCCCGGCGTCCTCGGCTTGCGCTGTCTCAGTGGGATTGTTGAGAGTTTTCATCTGGCAGCACTGTATAGCTAATGTTAGTGTTAGTGACAGGGCTCACGGGCTTACAGTTTGGCCACAAATAGATTGATTATGTGACAGTGCCTCGTATTCAACCGTGGTTTTCACATAACGACTGTGGAGGTTCGTTTTTTATTCCCGCCGCCTCACTGCACAGGACAGGATGATACAATAACAACATGGACATTTCCCCCTCTCCCTGTCTGTTTAGGGGAGCTGGGCATGTCAGAGGGCAAGGTCAGGTGGATGAACTTGTGTCGAGAGATACTAAAGACACACTGACTTGCTCATGGACACTTCAGCAGGGTGGGTGATACATGACCTGAGGCCTGAGCTTAGCTTACCCAGGTGAAGGTCTGGCTGTGGAATCAAAATGAAAATACAACGTAGACTTAAAGTGTTGACATTATTTGGTTGAGAGTGAATTTGTGAAGTGTGGTCTCATCTTTCTGCTTTGAGCGTGTCCACTGGGGGAGAAAAAAAGGTTTGTGGCAGTCAGGACATTTTGGGTGGTGTAGAAATGACAACTTACAATGTAGCGTGAAATCAGCTCACCTCCTCCCTTTCCCTTCTTCCCCCTCCATGTCCCTGGAGAATAGAAAGGAAATCCAATCTCTCTCCCTCTCTCCCTGGCACTGACTGTGTCAGCTGCTGTATCTCTGGGTGCTGACTTGCAGAGGGGACAGGTGGTCCTTGGACAGGTGCACCCTTAACAAAGGGCTGCAGTCCTCTGACTTCTTGTCTGGTTGATGTACCGTTTTATTTTTTATAGCGTCTTGGTTTTAGCTTTTGTTGTCCAGCTATAATCTGTGCAGGCTGCTTTAGTAATGCAGCTCTTTCTATGTCCTGCGCTGTAATTATGAGTGCTAACACACACAAACACCCAAAGGCGACAGCACACAACCTGCCCTCGCTTTCGGTCATCGAATAGTTTTAACACAAGTAAGCTGTTTGTGCCTAACTTTCTGTATGACGCAGGCGTTCTTCACAGCTCCAGGAACGCACTCTGGTTCTCGGGTTGGACTTCCATATACACCAGCAGCTCTTTTACGTATTTCAGGCTGTACTGTTCCCTGGAATTTAAGTCGAAGTTAAGTTTACCACACAAACCAGTTTCGGTCTCAGTACATTGAACAGCAGTAACAGGAATGAATGACTGAGGAACGCACCCTTGCAGCTACTGGGAACCTGGTTGAACAGAGATCCAGACAAATGACTAACCTCACAGCCAGCCTGCTTGGGCTGTATGGTCATTCTGTGGCTAATGTTTAACCCACTGCTTTCAATGCAACAAAGAATGCAGAGGAAAACATGCGGCGTGAGACACACTGAATTCAGAGAGACAGAGACGGGGGAGATCAGAAAAAGAGGTCAGCGAAGTGATATGAAGTGGAAGAGAGAGGAGAGGGAAAGTTTGAAGGCTTATCTCAGTAATGTGCACGGACAGTTGGGCAATGATGAGTGTTGCAGTCACCATCGTCTTCTATTTAACCCTTCACCGCCTCCTCTGGCGTTGACCATTACAGCTCAGGTCTTTCTCAAGGAGACAAGAGGGAAAAGACATTCAGTCTCTTAGACAGTTGTGTAAGTGTGGCATGTGATGTGTAAATAGTGTTTTTTTCCCCCCAGAATGAACGTGTCTCCTCCTGCCCAGGCTGGATGTGACACCCATCACTAGTCATTACTCTGGGCTCCTTAAGTTCCCATTAATGATCTCTACGCCTCTACACTATTGAGGTTTATTTAAACCTCTTGAACGCAGCCTTCCAGTGTTTCCTCTGCTCGCCTGGCCAGTGCGCCTGCGCTCTGCTGACACTCCAGTAATCCGCTGTTAGGAGGAGATTGCATCCTCGTCCACTGCGCTCATGCTACCAGCGAGGGACAATTAAAGCCCGTGGTGGACACGTTTTCACCACGGGAGAATAAGGACATAGAAATGGGACCGTAAGATGCCCCGAATGGAAACATTAAATACAGGCATTCTGGGAAGGAGCAGTTTTACGCTGTGAGAGGGCGACAGCGGGACTGGAGCGAGGATGTGTCCTAACATGAAACAAGGCTCAGCATCTACAGCCCCCAAACGCTGGGAATCAGAGACGAACGCAGGCTGGGATGGAGCCGGCAGAAGATGGTGAAATTTGCGATTGAGTGCTCCCTCCTGGAAGACACCTCCTCGGCTGCTCTAACGCCTGCATGTCGCCTCCTGCGCGGTACTCCCCCCTGGCCTCTGTGCCGCTGTGTGGAGACGGACACTGAGCCTCTTTACATACCAAAAGTAACGCTTTGTAGCGCTGTTCATATAGGCTGAATTGAAAGCCCACACGCGCTGCTTTTCCCAGTGCTTCATGGCCACGGATCGTTCACTGAATCTCCAAACCTAAACTATAGATTCAAACCCACGTGATCTCTGCGTTGTTTGCCTCCGGGTTTGACAAGCTATCGACGCTGGTCCAAATGCATGCAAATGTGCTCTCCCTTCCTTGACAGCTTTCCCCCCGGAACCATACTTGTTCCGTTGAGCTGCTTCGCCTGTAGAGACTGGCTCTGACAGTGCAGGATCAATCCCAGCGCAAGTTGATGAACTAGACTGACCGGCCTCGGCGGTGGGATCAGACGGATATTAAGCTGCCTCTCTCAGACAGCGGAAACTAGGATCATCTCCCGTCCTTGCGTTGGCAGAGCACCGCAGCCCGAAACGGAACATTCCTCTCGGGTATATTGTCGGATATCACACACAACTTGCCGCCGAGCTGTAAACATTTCCACTCTATGGCAACTGTTGTTAAAATGGTTAAATGCTGACGCTCCTGTGAGTCTTTTTTCTTCTCATGTTGGAAAAAAGAGAGAAGTAAATACCAGAAGTGGTCTAATTTGTGAGAAAGCCCCTCCAACTCCAAAAAAAAAGGGTTTTCAAACATGACGTTTAATCCAGTGGGGTGTTTTACTGGTAAACTTCCACAGCAGCTGTTAGTCAGACTGGATGTCTGAAAGATGACACTTGGATATTAGCATACTTGTAGTTTTGCCAACACCCTTCCCAGGAAATGCAATGCATTGATTTGCTCCAGTGCCGGCATTGTAAATAACTCCGTGGACATATTTTGTACGGCTTTTATCCCCGCAAGATCCATGTCATCGCTGTTCACTATCAGCTGTCGTTGTGGACGGTGATGTAAGTGAGGTGTTCTGGATGTCGTTCTGTTTCTGTTCTTTTTTTTTTCCCACTTCTTGAACCTTACATTTCCCAGAGGTGTGCTGTTTGGCAGCTAAGATGCTGAAAAACGGTGGACGCATTTACTTCTGCACACTGTGGTTTGATTTTCTGAGCGCGTGCCATGTGAAGAGGAGCCAGGCATGAGACTGCACAGACTGAGGAGATGTATCACAAGGAACGCAGGAGGAATTACGAGTGGCACTATGGAAGACCCGGTGCAGAGTGCTACCAGCTTAAAGTGTACAAGAGAGAGAATTACGAGCCTTCGCTGTGAGAAAATTGTGTTTTCTCCTCTCTGAGACTAACTGCTGAATTGGAATCAGTGCTCCATGAATCAAATTAGTATTTGAATTGAGAACTTCTCCCCCGTGCACTGTGGGATATCCACCCTGTTCGTCATACTCGGCAACCTGCGAGTTCCGCTCATTTTTTGAGTGCGCTTATCTTCGATCCCCTGTTGCTGTGGCTTTTATTTGTTTTCAGTCTAGCTCCCGCAGAGAAATGTCTTCCTATTTGAAGCAGAAAGTTGTCAACAGGACGTTTACAGCAAATACAAACACACGATAAGGGTAGGGGTCTCTTCCAAATCAGTATATCTTTGTGTGTCTCACTGAATACTGTCAACTTTTGTGCTCTTGGGGGGGGAAAACCAAACCGAGCCCCACCCCCACCCCCCATCAGAGTGCATTCAAGGACTAATTTCCTACCGCTGTGGTGATGGGGAGCTCAGCCTCGTCTCTCACTGCAGAGACCGAGTCAGACCATGGCTTCCGCAGCACCCCGTACCCATCGTCACCTCCCGTGGGTTGGCTCAGGAACAGCCACAGCAGCCCGGTGTGGGGCACCACCTTCATCACACGTCAGCAGCAGCACCCACTGCCTCACCGAGAGCGCAGGTAAGAGCCAAAACTGTCTAGCCAGCCGGGTGCCAGCACATTTCTCAGTTGAGTGCACTTGGGACACAGAGCGGCAGCAGTTGGCCTGGCTCAGGCAGTTGTCGGGGAAGTCGCAGGAGGGATCAGGGATGAGACGTGGGGTTGTATTACACAGGAATGCTGTCATTTAAAGCCGTGTGTCAGCGTGCAGAGTGGCATTATCAAGGCTCTTGTGCCGATGTTGTCTTTGGCTTCAGTACTTGAGTGATGTGCACTTTGCGTCGTGAACTGACACTATTCTTCAGTGTTTTCATTTGAGAAACTTACTGTTTTCTCTTTCACAGGCTTTTAGCAATGCTTACTGAGGATTCAATAACCTCACAGTGATGGATCAAATCCCCTGTTTCATCAAAGCTTATCTAATCAAAGCCTGCATTTTGATGTTTTCCTATGATGTACCCAAAATCTGACTAAGCCGGATTTGTAAACCAAAATCCCACCCTATTGGTTCGTCCTAGCACAGCTGTGCAGTATGTGCTACACTTTATGGAGTGCTGAGTGGATTGCCTGGGCAGTTGGATTGACCTGACCTCTATGAGCCCAATGAAAAACCAGCCCAAGGGTAACTGGAAGACGAGTGTTGCTGTCATGCTTTTATCAGGCTTTAAGACGAGCTTTGATTCAGCTGTGTTAATTTCTGAAATGACTAACAGAGTAAAGTGTATCTAGCTTAGTGTGGCTAGTACCCTGGTATTTTTCATCTCTTGTCCACCCACAGTAAAAAGGTACCTTGAACACACCTATTAGAAGTTTCTTTAAGAACAAACGTATTATTGAGTTGCAACAGATGTGTTATTGAGCGAGTGCAACGTCTAGCAGAATAAACTATTTGCAGAAGAGACGTGCTATTTATATAGACTGTTTTGTCCATATTGACCATATTGTACCTACAATACTACTGTGCTGCAATCCACTGTTCCAGTCCTCGCCTTTAGTCAACACAGTGAAGGGCCTACCAGCAGTGTGTAAGAGGCTCTGTTTGAATGTGCAGCTCATCCAGCAGTTATGACTGACTCTCTTCCAAAAGATGATCTTCTCAACCGCCCTCACAGAAACTTGTTTAGAAGTGTTTCCAGTTTTCCTTCAGCTTTTTGGGTCATGTCTCCCGGAACAAGAACAGGCAGTTGATATCGACCGCCTGTAGTGTATTGAAGTTGTTGCTGAGTCACTCAGGGCATCGTGGTCCGGTTGTTAGTTATTGATTTCCAGAGAGCCCGATCACATTTCCCCACAATGGATGTCATTATTTATTCAGCATCAGACTCCAGTTGGGCTTTCATCTTTCTTGATTCCTGCCCGCCGCTGTCAATGCTTTCCTTGCAGTTGCTCTACATTTAACAGTTAAGGCTGTCATGGCTTCCATTGCTTACTCTTCGAAGAGTTTTGAAAAATAGACAGAGCTGCTTTCAGCCCATGCTTAAACAGGGTTCCATCAGCTGTAGCTCTGTGCATGAATGAAGCTGGAACTATAGGTCACACTGTCAGTGTAGTTTTGCATCATACAGTCAACTTGCTTTTTTATCCAGCAGACTCTTCTGTTGCATCCGTGCATCGCTGTAGCAACAACCCTCTCCCTCCATCACCAGTCAGACTACACCCTCACTCAGCGGGGCACATAAACACATGTAGAAATGCACAGATATATAGTACACACCATTTCAGTCAACTGCTGGGAGGCAGTGAGGGACACACACACACACACACACACACTCTCTGACAATAGATGTTTTAGAAACACTGTGCAATAGCACTTGGAACATGCCCTCTTATCTCCCCCCCACTCCCTTTCTCTCTCACACAAACTCACTTACAGTCGTATGCACATATACACACTGCTGTGTGAGCCTAACAAATTTAGGCAAGCTTTGCTGAGCTGTGACAGAGCATGAAATAAAGAAACAACAGAACACTATGAGCCCAGCTTAACCTCAGCCGTTCTCATACAGTTTGTTCTCTAATTTATTGTCCTATAAAACGTATTCTTTCCTTGTTTTTCTTAGCCTGGAAGCTGCACAAACAACCTTGCCCTTGGGTAATTTCAATTTGTCTCCATCCAGCAGTGTCCCATTGACTTTGGGAAGTGTTTGTGTGCACTGAATCAGTATCTGAACTGTGAAGGTTCACTCAAGACAACAACGCACTTAGCAGACGTGAGAGAACTGTAGTTATATGAGCCTCAATTTTTCCTTAACTTTGGAATCTCAACCTTTTCCCCATTTTAATAGCAGCATAATGCAGTTATAATGCAGTCCCAGTATTATTATTGTAAGTTAACAATGTGGCTGCACTTCATTTTATCTTCTCCCTATGGTGCTAGTGTGGTGTTCTTTACATGGCCTTCGGAGTCCTGAGCCCTTAAAGTGAGTGCCTGCTCTCTCCTGAGTCAATCCCAGTGTCTCTACTGCCCCAGCATGATGGATGATGGTGTTTATCGCAGCTTCATTCCACTGGCTCTCCTCCCTTTAATTGGATTAAAACGGGTCCACTTGGATTCGACCAGCATGCTCACTGGCTGTGTTTATGTCTGAATTATTTCAGCGCCTCCTTCCTTGCTTATTGCCTGTCTGATGAAGACAGAGCCACGTCAGGACAGTCCCCAAGCCTCCAGAATAGAGTTGGCACTCAGGCTTTGTCTCACAGTGTGGCTTTCTTTGGAAAACAGAGCATTGATGCGGAAAGAAAGAGGAAAAAAAAAAACTAGCCTATTGGCACTGCAAGTGACATGATTCCAGATTCCCTCGCTCTTGTTGCCATGGAAATCTGTAGCATATGCTCAGTAACCTAATTCATTGGGCCTTAGATAAGACCACACGGTAACCTGGCAATCTCACACAGAGAAAGAAACCTGTGTTGGCAAATTAAACCTCGGGAGGAATACCATATAACCTGCTGATTATTTATGTCCGTGTTTAGTGATGCCTGTGAGCTAGAGAACCCTCATGGCAGGTGTTTTTTTTGCTGGTCTGCCTTGGTAACAGGAAGTGAAACTCTACTTTGTGCTACCTGTCTGAGAAGTTCTCCCTCTGGCTGAAGGCAGCGCTGTGTCAGCAGTGCTCCTGCCCTCCAGGTTCAGTTGCCTGCAGGAACTCCACTTTAGCACAACGGCTTTGCCTCTCCCATTTCTTCCCCGATTCTGGAGCTTCCTGCTGGCTTCCTGCTTGCTCTTGCTTTGCTCTGGGCTACTGATGTCTACTGAAACCCAGTCAGACAGTTTCCTCTGTTTAAAGATTCAAATGTCTAAAGCTGTCTCCACTGTTGACAGATTCACTCGTCAAAAATGAGCACTGGTCGTGAAATATTCACTGAGGGCGCAGCTAGAGGTCAGAAGCTACTGTTATTCTCTCTGTTTCTTTTCCCCTTTCCTGACCAATATTTGCATTCTTCTCTTCAGTTACTTATTCAGGAGAATGGATTGTTAGTTCACATCTTATTTTGCTGATGGCTCTCGGTTGGGAGGTTTTGGTCATGTGGTGTGTGTTCATCTGGATCAGGCTTCCAGAAAAACAACAACAGCAACAAACTGTCTTCAACTTTTCGTCATAAATAGGATAACCAGACTCTCCATATTCTCAAGCGTGGCATTATCCTGACACATAACATTGACACCCTTGTTTCTGCAGCATCACACCCTTCTTATAATGTTCCATTTTCACAAGAGGGGAGTATTTATTCAGTTTTTTTAAATTGCTCCGAGTGTATAGCCTCAGCAGTGCTTATTGGAGGAATGTTCTGGCTGAAGGGCACTTCTTCTTAGGACCCTTTGTGTCATTTTCTCTCTTAAGAATCCTTGTGCCGCAGCCAACACCATACCAATTTATAATATTTTGTCTTCATATTCAGCAGAAAAAAAGTTTCTATTCTCTTTAAAATGTGTCTTAATGTCACTTCATCAAGACTTGCCCAATTATCTTGTTGTCGTCCCATTTGACTAAAGCTTCACTGTCACCAATCCCTTGTATCAAATCACCAAGTCTAAGCATGTCACAGTAGAAACGCTTTATCTGCGGCTAAAGTCTGGGCTCTAGATACTCACGTAAGATAAGTAGCCGGCAGCTCCGTGTTTGTCGTAACAAATGAATTCTGGAGGTGTATGATGAGTCATATTCATGCCACAACATATCACCTGACAGTTTGAAAGGAGGCTCTTACAGTTAATCCTCGAGTCTTTGACCCTGACTCATCAGCTCCTCTGAAAGACAGGGAGAAATGCTTGCAGGGGCAAAATGACTTTTAAGTGCAAAAGTTTTCTCTGATCCTGCAAGAAAAAATCCCGCAACGCAGTGATAAACAAACCTTTTTACCAGTAAAACTGCTGCCAACAGACTGAATTCATTAATAAAGGGGTAAAATAAATTCTCATCATTTGGTAAGGAATTTGTGAAAGCACTGATCTGATCCCTGTCGCTGACGTTTTCTGGGTGTGTGCAGACGCAGCGGAATGTTTCAACATTCATTATCCTTTTATTTCTTTTTTTTTTTTTACAGCTTGTCTGATCCGAAGGCACATTTGCCTTTGATAAGTCTCATTTCTTCATAACAAGCTCTGCACTGTTAAACAAGACCACCACTCAGCTGGAATCATTGTTCTGTCTGCCAGCGATGTTTGTGTGGATGAAGTGAAAAAACAAAAGAAAAGCACAAGCAGCAATGCCAGTGCTCCGAAAACCATGGGTAGCGTCCTTGCAGCTGGTAGTTATGAAAATCACTCCCTGCATCCCTGTCACTGCTGGGGTTGCAGCTATTAAACAGGTTCATCATCAAGTGCAAGAGACATAAACATTTCATAAGCTACAGCATGCACGTCTCCAGTCCTCTCCCTGTGTTCGCATGAAACTGCGCCTGTAAATATTTATCACAGGAGTGACTCATTTTATTCAAGTGTGACGCTACATCTGGAACCTGTCTCACAAAGGGAGTTACACACACGCCAACTACAGTCATCCAGCCCCATGCAGCTTATTTAGTAATCACTGATAACTGCTGCTGTTAAGCTGGTTATCGAGAAGTTCAAATAACCCAGGAAAATGCTTGGTAAAGGAGGAGGAAGCCAGTCATGGAAACCCAGTATGACTCTTGCTGTACGCTGAATGACTGGCTATGTGCTACATAGTATCTGTGAAGAGCTGAATGAGTCCTTTTGTGTTGTAGCTTAGCTGATGTCAGGATTCATTCATTAGACAACAAAGAGTTTGAATTGTTGATGAAGAATTAATAGTATGACATTTTTATCTTAAGTTCTTTTGGTGTTCTTTATTAATTATGTCTTTTGTTTTTGGATTAGAATGGAGCCAAAGTCTACACACAGTGTCATCTGAGGATAATACAGCAAAATTGCCATGTTTAATCCTCAAGGAAAAGGACTGTCAACATTAACAGCCATAGTTACTGCTATCAGTTTCATGGTGATGGCATATTTTTGTGTTAAATGCATAAAGCAGATACACTCTGCCTCCAATGGCCAAGGAAGGTACCACGCTTTCCCCTCAGGCCCTGGGCTCAGGGCCAACCTTGGAAAGGCAGTGCTAATGACTGTCGCACAAAGGCCAAATGTCTCACAGTGAGGCAGGGAGAAGCTGGCGAGACTCGGCTCACTTGATCTCGCAACAGAGTTCAGCATGGGGAATGAATCCAAGTAGCCAGCCATAGGTGGCCTGCACACGATCAACAGTGCTTTTGTGGACTTTCTGTAGCCTTAGCCTTCCTTTAAACCTTACTGACCCATCTTACATGCTGTATCTTTCTACTCTTGTTTCTCATGGGTACCTTTTTTCTCTAAAGCTTTAAGACTTCCTTGCTGACATCTCAGTCGTGGAAGTTAATGTAACTCCCCCCCCTCCTCCACCATGATGTTACCGGTTTGCTCATTTTCACTGAGAGTTGTAGAGCTCTCACTCCCTGTAATAGTCTGCTGAAGTGCCCTATGATTGTCTTACAGCCAGTGAAGCATTGAGAAATTGGCCAGGGGTCATTGATGCTCTTACTTGAGTGAATTTAGACTAGGAGCAGGTACATTATGGGCAGCAGGCTGCATTGAGGACCTCATTGCAAAAAGATGGGCTCTCTCTCTCTCTCTCTC